GAATATCCATCGAAAATGCACTAGAAAGCACTCGGCCAGCAAATGTGCCTTGATTTTATCGCATCTTATTCCACCATATTCGATGGCTGCATTTTATTATAATTCAATTCATCAATCATAAAGATGCTGCAATCCTCAAATCATTCATTCTTTTCACGTTCGAAAAAAGTTTCGCTATCGAAACAATTCGAAAAAAACGTACGTATGCAATTTCAATAACCGTATGCAAATATTCAGATGATTTCTCATTCCAATCAAACAGATGCAAAATCGATGCGAAAATCCGCTAGGAAAAAATTTCATTTGCAGTGTTTTCGGTCATTTCGAGTATGATAAATGGCTGTTCACAAACACCAAATACATTCGTCACTCACAATCAGTATTGTATTGTTAAAGTTTATGTAATCAGCTGACTGAGCGTCTTCTCTAAATAGCTGCAATGTTTATGCAAGTTCCAGTAATATAACCAAACATGCGCATTGCAATATCAAATAAAGTAACTATCTCTTTGCTCTGCAAATATGAAAACGATTCGAAATTTTAATTTAGAAATTCATTTTGAACACAAAAAAGTTGAAAGTCATTCGGAGATGGCATTTAATATGCAGTTTAGTGTCGTTTGTCCTAAATTTCTAGCGATTCTTGTGACACGATCGAAATCAAATGTTCAATTTCATGGAGAGAGCGCATAAATAGCGATAGGCAGAAATCAAAATTGTTGTTGCTTTGCTAAAAACCGATCTCCCTCTAAACTTTTCCTTTGCTATTGCTTTCATTTTTCTGCATAAACTGTTGAATGTAATAGTTTCACCCGACGGTTGTTCTGCGCCGAATTTATCTGAATTTTATAGTAACTGCATATAATCAACATTGTTATCCATGCTCATTGACAACAATGATAATGACAGCAACAGCATTGATAAATGCACAATCGATAGTCGTCACAATGAATACGTTTCAGTTACATCATCCAACTCGGCAACGCAAACGTTCAGTGGTGGACGCATTTAAGGAGAAACGAACCGTGAGTGGTGATGCTCGAAGACGAGTTTCAGCAGATGTCAAAAATGCTCTTTCGAACGATCGAGACTGGGGATTCGATATCCTTCGATTGGAACGGGTCACTGAAAACCATGCTTTATCACAGCTCGGCATTAAGGTACTATTTCAACGGTATTATTATGATGTCCACTTATCCATCAAATGAATATCTTCAGTAGTGCGTTTCTATGAAGTATTCTACTTCGTCATCCTTTTTCCACTCCACTTTGCTCCAATCAATCCGTGATTAACAATCGCTGATAATTGTGAAGAATCGATGAGCGTCCGAACTGATTTATTGAATAAACGAACAAAAGAAGTTTCTTCGAAAGTTTATGAACTAAATTCTGAAAGGGACAATTGATCTGTATGCGAAACGCCTTTTACAGTTATCGAATTATAATTAATGCGTATTTGAATGAGACTGTATGCGTGCGTAATATGAAAATGTCCTTAATGTCCTTAATAAGTTCACACACCATCCATATTAAACACACATCAGTACGCATTAAAGTCAACATTAAGAAACGTATTTTTGTTTTATAATCGAATCTTCGATATCAAAGAGGAATGAGAAGAAACGTTCAGCAATTAATGGTTATCAGTAGTTGATAAAATGTTACGTTAATAAGAGCAGACAACTGCTAAAGTCGACGGCGCCACTGTTAAATTTGCAAAAATCAAATCAACATGAGACGGATTTTATGGGGGGATGTACTGTGAAATTGTTCCTTTGCTACAATACAGTTTCCTTCAAATCTTTTCTGGGCACGTAAAACAACCTTGGGTTTGGTTACATATTGCTTTGAATTTAATTTTGTATATTCTATGTTCTGCATCAACAACAGTTAAAATAACGATAGCCATAATAGTGATAATAATAGTAACAATAATAGTAATAATAATGATGATAATAATAATATCAATAATGAAATGATAATTGCAACAAATAATATCATTAATAATAATAATAATAATAATAATAATAACAATAATAATAATAATAATGATAATAATAATAATAATATCAATAATAATAATAATTGCCTGAATGGCACAAAAATGATCTCGAAGAAATCTTCAAGCAAATTTTTTGTTTCCCCAAAAACAAGTTAATATTTCCACAATATGCTTCCAACACTTAACACATCAATCAACCCTCGTTATTTCCTTGTTTTTGTGAGTTGTTCGCAGCATCCGATTACTTTCATCGGCGGTATTTTTTGTGGCTTTCAAATAATCGTTCAGTTTTCCTGAAAGTGAAATTTTTCTGAGTCCTCATTGCAAATTTTGTTATCGGAATGTGGAAATCAGTAAAAATGATTATGAATTGACGATGAGATGCGTTGAAAAATGAAGAAAAATACTATGAAAAATATGGGAAAATAACAGGATACGGCAGGTAGGGACCAAATGGAACACACAAAAATGATTAGACGAAATTTGAACGAACGACGTCATTCTCATTCGAAAATCGTAAATAAAAATTTTATCACTACAACAATTCAGCGGCAACACGAAAACTTTTCAGTTGATATTCGATTGCGTTTCATTCGACGATCAATTTGCACGAATGAATTTCGAATACGATGATACTCCGTAAAAATTTTTTTCACTCGTTTCATCCAAGTGTTTCATTCCTTGACAAATAATCTTGGTGATGCTTGTTTTGCTAACAATTGCACTCATAAGAACACAATGATCGAAGTGATTGGTTAGAGGGCCTCAAGCAATTCGAATTCATTTGAGCATTTAGCGAATGTCGTTCATTTTCAGGTTCATTTATATTATTTGAAAAATTTATTTAGCTCTAATTGAATTGGACAGAAGAACTATTTCAGAGTTTTGTTGTTAAGAATTCTTCTTATTTGGATGCGTTCATCGCAATACCTTCGCGTTTGTTTCTTCAAAAAAAAAGTGGTTTTGTTAGTTAATCGCAGCTTTGATCACATTTTTTCTTTATCAAACTTATGAGTCAAAGAAAGCAATACAAAGGCAACTCATAGTTAGGTGAGCAGCTTTGTTTTATGGATTCTGTGATCCACTATGAGGGCGTACTCCCATATAATTACTGACGTTTTTGTGTTCACATTGTGTCATTGGGGCGCTAAGGCAGAAAAAAACTCAGAAACAAATCTTTGGACGCATTGAATAAATTCAAATTGAATATTTCACTTATAAATGCATATATTCTCAATCAATAATATTTATTTGGAAGCGGTGCTTAATCGTGAATGCATTAATTTTCAAGTATCGTGCTAAATTAACGCAATGCACCAAGACCGCTACCTTGTGTTGGAACAGAGAAACGGTACATTCTATGCAAATTAAACAGTTTGATCAAGGGATCCTGTTCTGGCGGTACGACTGAATAAACTTGCGGTACCCTGGATACTTTTGTGGTCAACGCTCACATGTAGGTTAATATTTCATTCTAATCATTCGGACGATTTACAGATATTTGAACGCTGGAAGGTGCACGATACGCTGAGATGTTCATCAGATTTGATAGCCAAATGGTTTACCGTTATTGAGAATCATTATCATAGTTTGAATCCTTATCATAATGCCACTCACGCTGCCGACGTTCTACAGGTTTGTTGTTTATTACACATCGTTTGGGATTATATGGTCTTCAATTGTCTTCTCATAGTGCGATCTTGAGCAATTGTTTAGCAATTCTCTTCAGCAATGAAAATTTTCACCTTCAATTGATTCATCGGACAAAAACCTCTGAAAATGTGACACTTTCTGCACGTATTTCAAGTGGCAATGAAATTCTTAAATGAAAATGTGTTCAAGTCAATAGGAATACGTGATGAATTGGAACAAGTTATGAAAATTAATATGTGGTATAATGTTTATTTGCACCCTCTGTTTTCATGCGCACTAAAAACCTTCGACAATAAAAGTAAAAAGCAATAGGATAATAAATATAATAATACTATAATAATAGCGATAAAAAAGACGAAAGCAATAAAAATTATTGCAAAACGATGCTATCATTGATCAAAAATCCTTCATAATTATAGTTATTCTTTATGAAACGATGCCATCTGAAGTGACGTAATCACTGAAATATTTTTATCTGTAATTCTCTTTCTTTCTTCTGTTTTCTTTTCTTTTTATTTGCTTTCTTTCTTTCCCTTTTCAACTTCTTCAATTCACCATTTCATTTTCGCGAAAATTTTCACCGAAATTTCCAAAACTAATGACGACCCCATAAACGAAGCAAATAACCATTAATTTTTTCGTGACATCATATCTTTCCATATCCGAACACTGTTTTTTCTATATCTGTCTCTTACTCCTTTTATCGCTCTTCTCTTCTCAGAATTTTGCCGTAAGTTTTTCATTTTTTCAAAATTCTCAACGGAACATATCTCAATGGACTCTTCTCAGCATATCGAAAAATAACGTTTACAGAAATTTCTTCTTTTTCATCAAAACATCGAAAATCTTCTTGAAATTTCTTGTTCTTGCGTCTTTTGTCACTCTATTCAGTCTTTAATTTGCGAATATCGTCGAATCTCTTGATCCCAACGAACCCCTCATGTTTTTTGCATCTAATTCGAGTATTTATGCAACGATAAAAGGAAATCTGATTGTTCTCAGTACTGTCTGATGATTGTTTGATGTTCGATGACTATTCCCAATGGAATGTGACTGTCAGATGTTTGATTCGGCTATCAACCTTGATTACTTGTGCATTCAGCTTTTTTGACATAGTTCATTCCATGAGATGAATGGCTGAAGAGAGGGGCAAACGAAAAATCACTTCAATACTCGCAGAATTCACTAACTATTTGTTCCATCGGATGTGCAATGTTCATTGGGGGTAAAAGTTAGCTGAGTGATTGCCTTCATTATTCAGCGAAATAAATGCCTTCAGTTGTTCAAAACTTTCTTAGAAGATGATTTCCTTTAGAAAGATAATAAATATTTACTGCACAGCAAAGGTTTACGCACGTTTGATATTGAACACCATTCATATAAAACCATATTATAAAACTTATAAAACCGTATACATCCATATAAAACCAAACTCAACTCTGCACACAGCTTAAAGCTCAACCAACACAAAAAAGGTGAAAAGAATTTCGAATTGCATATGTCTGATTGCTTCACACGTCAGCTGATCAAACTCAGCAATCACATTTATCTGATTAAACTTCCTCCTTTCTTCACGTCCTGTTCTTTGTTTGTTCAGTTCTTCTTTTTTTTGAAAGAACGAATTTCTCAACCATTGTCGAAACAAATCATACGTACCAATTGCAATCTTTTTGTAAAAGTTCCCAATTTTTGCTCAAATTTCTAATTTCTTGTCTCCATCCACGAAATATTTGTCTATCCGTTGTTTGCTAGTTACTTTTTTTTGCAGTTTCTATATTTCAAATTTTTTCTAGAATTTTTCACATTGAACATATTACCTTTCAGGCAACCTCCTATTTTTTGGATTCTCCAGCTGTCGCTCATCACGTTCAGGATACACACGCAACGGCGGCATTGATTGCCGCTGCAGTGCACGATCTCGATCATCCAGGTAAAAATCAACTCAAATGATGCATTTCTTGATAGATTTCTTGATAGCAAGAACATTTTCTGTGGCAGCCTCCTTTCGTTTTAAATATACAACTTGTCTTTTACAACTACTCACTTGTCTATGTCCCCAGTGCGAAAATTTTCAAATCATTTGATCACCTAAAATTTAATTCGTTCAAATGAAATTAATTTAGACCATAAAGCATCACAATTCATTGATGCTATTCACCACATTGCTCCGTATATCTCATTTAGTCTTTAGTGTCCCATCTTAAGTGAAACTTATCATGGTCATACAGTTTTTAAATTTTCTGTGAATAATCTTTCAGGTCGAGGGAATGCATTTCTGATCAATACTCGGCAATCGTTAGCATTACTATACAATGATCAATCAGTATTAGAGAATCATCATGTAGCGTTAGCATTTCAATTAACACTACAACAGTCGAATAATGTGAATATATTTGCAAAATTGCATCGCGATGAGTTTGTCGCAATACGGCAAGCTGTCGTTGAGATGGTCTTATCGACCGACATGTGTAGACATTTCGAGTACCTCACTAAATTCCAACAAACCATTGGCAATTTACATGTGAGTTTTTGCATGCAATCTTTTATCTGACTATTTATTCTTTCTACCGAGCGATTTTTAAAAAATTTACCAATGACATCTCTTCATTCTGTCCATTGATGTTTCTGTTCAAGTCAAACTGTTCTATTCTTGTTCTAAATCGAGGAACAGATCAAAACAGTTCCAAGGAATACAACAGAACAGTTCCAAAAAAGGATGGGATGAACAAAACGGAGCAGAACAGCTGAAGGGCAGAATAAAACAGTTTGCCAAAAGTGTGGAACAGAAACATCACGAATCCTTTCCTATGTTTTCATCACGTTTATGTCCCCTACGTTCTTCCTGCTCTTTTTCCTCACTTATAAACGTTTCGAATTGATGCTTTTTTCATGGATTTTCATGTATTCTTTTTCAATGTGCGGTTGTCCACTTCACTCTGATTAGGAAACTGAACCGAATCTGAGTGCGATCATGAGTTTGTGTCTAGCTCTGACTCATCCCGTAATCAGCGTTGCTTTTGCCAAGGTTTTAAGAACAGCTGCATAAAATTTATGAAAATTATTTGCAGGAATGTGATGAAGAACGAGATACGACATCGATGACTGTTTGTCGAATGTTGATTAAATGCGCTGATATTGGTAATCCGACTCGAGAATGGAACCTATGCAAGCAATGGGCCATGCGAATCGTTGAGGAGTACTTTGATCAGGTTCACTTCTTCTCATCAACATTACTGATTTTCATCATGAATAGCCGTCACTTTATTTGGATGAATTTACCACTTTATTTCCATTAACTGTGCTCTGGTCATCTAATTGATGCATGGGCGATTCATTGCTGTCATCAGTTTATGATAGCAAATCTGCTAATGTATTTCAAACGATTTTGGTATACATCATCTTTTCTCCAACTTTTGCGCTGAATCTCGGTCGCTGTCTGTATAGAAACAAACGCAATAACACGAACGAATTCATATGAATTTCACTCAGTTGTCTTTTCTCACAATCGCGTCCACATTAACTGAGACGTTGCATTAGTTATGGGATCTTTTCAAGTCCTGCAGTCAACTCTTAACTGTCATCAAGATTCGGGCCTTATTTGTAAGAATGTTTGTAAATAAGTTTATCAAATTTATGTGATGTAATCGAGGAACTAATAAAGTCGATCGAATAATATTTGCTCAAAATCTTACACAACTATTTATTAAGAGTGAGTCAGTGTTTATCGTATAATTTACTCTGAAATTTCGTTGCGCATCGCACACATACTGTCATAGCAAACTCTCATCCATGCATTTTGCTGCATTCATTTAACGAACCGATAAATTTTCAAGAACCTCTAAATGACTACTGTAGAAGATTACTCTTTTAAAACCAATATTCAATTAACTAGAACATCTGATCGTGAGAATAAGATTGGGCAGAAGTTTGCGAGGGTGACCAGTGATAAATAATGAGTTTGCTATCGGTCTGTCATAACTATTTTGCCACAGTCAGACGAACAAACTTAACGGTAATCAACCAGCTGTTTATGTTTTTAAGGGAAAACATTATTATACAGCCACATTTGTGATACATCAAAACACCAAAATTTTAATCGCAGAACTGCATAATTTGTTCTTTGAAACAAGATCAAAGATGATTTGGTTGTGTTGAATGAAAGGATCAATGAAATCTGAATCAACAAACAACAAACACAAGCTTATTCCCTTTTCGATTGAATTGATTCTGTTGCGAAAAAATGATTGAAAACGATTATGACCCAATTCAGCAATTATTCCTCAAAAATGTCCCATTGCAAGTACAACTCAAAATAACTTTTGTAAAATAGACTGATATTATAAAACTGTAAATACTGTGTTGTTCTAAGAATCATAACAGTCTCTACGAATGAAGGATGTTAATTTCCGTCGAACTAAACTCTACTCAGCTACGTATTTGCACTATCTGATTGCAAGATATGGAGAAAGCACTCTTCATCAGTGTTCTATTAAGTCAAATCATTTGTTCATAATTGATAACAATTGCTTTCTCATAACAGTTAGCCTAATACTTTTTTAAATCAGTGATATTGGTANGATTTGCTCGAAGCCGAATGATTTATCACAATGTCGTTGATGTTTTCGAGACTGAAGGAGGCTATGATTTGGCTTTATTAATTAGCTGTTAGCTATGGTATCGGATTGACTTTTCATGTGACACTTCTTGAAAGATGCGCTTGAATGATGAATGCATAAATTGTAGACAAGTGAAGAACGTGAGAAGGGATTGCCGTTAACGATGGAACTGTTCGATCGTAACACATGCAATGTACCGTTGACACAATGCGGTTTCATTGATATGTTCGCACGGGAGACATTCACAAGTTGGAGTGAATTCGCTGAATTGCCTGAATTGCTGAAACAGTTGGAGATTAATTATGAAAATTGGAGACAACAAACCACCAATTGGAATCCTGCACAAAATACTAATTTAATTGATACATGATACATGATATCAAACCGAGAATTTCTTTGTTGATCAACGTTTCATTTTCTGCGTTTAGAATGTGATTTCGATTGAAATGTAATAATTTATTCGAATGCTTTCATCCATGTTTTGTTCTGTTATTTTTCTTCACATTTCAGATGTTTTTGTTTTCCATTCTATTGTTGCATTGTTGATCTTATTGTCATCATTGTTTTCACACCTTCGGCATTGTTTTCTCAAATTCATTCGTTGAAAATTAAACTCGAAATTCAACTTAATTCAAGTTTCATTAAGTTAACAGTCAAGCAAGTTATCCAAGTCCCGCATCTTTCCATGCTTCATCTGCTCACATCTCACGCTATCATATGTGGTCGTTACCATTAATTGTCATCTTATTCTCACTTCCGGTGTCTCTTCACACTCTTCTTCCGGTGTCAGTTATCCGCAGCATCGAGTTTTTTTGATATATTTTCGTGATTGACGCCTTTGTCATTATCGTGTTCGTTGTTCTGCAATTGTTGGCTTTTATCATAACTGTTATTTCTCGGGTGTCATCATTGGCTTTTATCTATGTCTAATGTTTGATGTAGGTCGATTTAACTTTCGACATACACGAATCGAAGTCCGTTTAACTTTCAAAAAAAACCGCTAATAATTTTCATTTAGGGCAATACATTTGCATTGTGCAATCGACAAGAAACGTAACGCTTAAACTGTTTCTGAGAATTTTTCTGTGAATACGTCGGATCATAAGAAAATTGTTATCCTATCCAAGCGGCATCTCACCTCAGATGAACCGGTGGTGGATAGTAGATCGGAAAGTGATTGAGATCATCTCGAAAAGTCATTCATTCATGCATCCAAAAATATTTACAGTCGGAACAAGAGCCTCAAAGATTAGTTATGACTATAGCTAAAGATACGAAAACTAGATGATACTCGCCAAATACCTTGCAGCTGCTGCACAGTAAGAATACCATTAATTAAGCAACAATCTCAAGACAATTCCCTGTTGAGGAATGGCAGGACTCAGGTGATCTTTCACCATTTGAAGCTATATGTCCGTTGGTATGATTTCATTGATTCAATCGGTTTCACGAAACCAATTACGTACATTTCAGTGCCAATCCTCTGATTGAATCTCGGTGAACCTTGTTAATTTGAATCGCCATCAATGGTGAAAGAAAGTTTTTGCCTACTTCACTTGTTAATGTTTGGGATAGACCTAATTGCTCTACAAAACATTCACCGATCTACAGGTCTGTCTGTCTATTTGCACTACCCAAATGCCTGAATTCAAGCTCTCATATACGCAGTTTTCAAATTTGAGCTTACTGAATTATACGAGATGTGATTTCTGAACTAATCCGGTGTCTACGAATAGCTGAATGAAATGTTTGCTTTTCTGCATGCATCAATCATGTGGTTTATGTTACAGTATATGTCGATCAAATGATCTTTGATTGTTCATTCAATTCTCATGTTGCTCGAAACCAAAACTGAAATTTTGATTGGATACCATCAGAATTTATTTTATATTATTCATTCGTTGGTTCTGTTTGTTTGTGTGTGCGTGAATTCATTTATTCTTATTATTATTATCATTATTATCATCATTATCATTGTTCTTAATACGTTTATTAACCAATTTGTGCATCGTGTATTGTATTCTCATTGATATTCACCATATTCGTTTGCAGTTTATCAGTAGACTAGTTGAAGGAAATGAATATATGAAAAAACAAATGATTTCTTCGCAAAGTCTTATCGGCGTCCTAAATTTTGAATCACACAAAGTTTGGATGAGTTGATGAAATGTTGCCGAAAATTTTACCAGCAATTCAACGATCATCAAAATGACACAACTAAACAGACTGAGATTATCTTTTGTAGACTGAGGATGATGTTCGTTGTGGGCATTGAATTTTGAACAGATTCATTTTCATATTCCGTTCTCTTTTCATGTTATTGAACGAAACAGTTTGGGGCTGAATAGGTTCATTTGTGTACTCTGTCTTGTCTCTGCCGGTGAGTGACCATTCCAAAAATCAGGTACACCAGCATTTAGTTTTGTTTAATCTGAACATTTAGTTTTGTTTAATCTGAACATTCTCCAACCCCTCCCCCCTCCCTCCCCACCAACAAGTGATCGTCGGCCTCGAAGGAGCTTTGATGAGAATAGTTTTTAGAAAATTGAGCTGAAATCTGTCCAAATAATTATGCTGATAATGTTAGTATTTTGATGCGGTCAAATTCAGTCAAAATCGTTCGACATTTAAACGAAATAAACCGATTTTTCGGAGGAAATAAACTGCATTTAACATGAACTGAGAAATTCATATGACAGAAATGAACTTATATGAGTTCACCTGATGTGATGATATGTTTGTTCTTTGTTTGAATCGATTCAACGTTGTTGATAATCATAATGGTAATGATAATGAAAATGGTGGTTGTGGTTCTGATAATAATGCAATTGTAACTGTCACAACTAATAGTAATGACAATGAACATAGGTGATTTTTTTCAAATTATTTCAAATATTTCGTCGTTTTCGCTTGATTACGACCAAAGCTAAAATCAC